TCCATCCATCCTAGCGTTTAGAGGTTTGCATGAGGTTCACACCAGGTCACCATGGTTTGTTGAGCTGCTAAGCACAGTCAGAACAAACCTTGGTTTACTGTAATGTGTAAGCTGTTGCAATGGCTGCTTTCCCTTATCCTTGTATTGGAAATTAGGTAGGTAGGTAGGTTATACAAAGTTAGGGGGGGGGTAATCGTCCAATAAAACTCTCTTTTTGGATAGCTTTTGCATCGTACTTCAAATTTCCTAGTAGTTATACAGCTTTGCAAATTGTGGTCAATTGCAATCACCATTCAGGAGTTCTTGGTCCCTTCCTTCCTTCCTCCCTCTCTCCCTCCCTCTTATTTTTTCCTTTCATCCATCCATCTATCCATCCCTCATAACTAGTTTCCTCCCTCCCTCTTTTCTTGATTTTTAACTTTTTAATACAGGTTCAAAATCTCCTTGCGGGAACCTACAAGAGGTCTTCCTTGCCTTCCGGGGCTGGCTTTTGAAATTCTAGCAGCGAAAGGACCTCTAGTGGTTTTGATCATGTCATGTCAGAATTGGAACTTAAGACGCATGAAAGTTGGCTAACGTTCAAGTAGGACAAGCAAGCCTGCAAATTAGAACAGAGCTGCTGGACGCAGAGGTTTCTCTAGCCAACACTGGTTGAGTGGATGCAAACTAACAAAATCAAACGCTATTCCTATAGAAAATAATACTGGAAGGTTTTCTGTCTGAAGCATGTTTCTCTCATGGTGGTCTTCATAATGTGGTTTCCAGATTGGCTGCGTTGAAAAGGTTTGGCCGACATGGAATCTGACAAAACTTTTTGCAAAAATTTCATTGGCCTCACAGAAGTATTTCCTCCATGGGCTTTTACGCAGCTATTCTGACTTTTTTTTTTTTTTTTTAACAGTAGCTCTTTTCTAACCTCCCCCCTTTTCTCTTACAGATCCCAAAGGATCCTTGGAAAAGCGAAAAGTTGGTAAGTGAGGTCTATTTAAATAAAAAATAAAAAAAATTCCTCCACTGCTGAAAAACACTTGTTTGGCATGTCTACAATATCTGAGACTTAGAACAAAACTTCTTCATTCTTTGGAAATGGAAATAGAGAAGAACAGAGTTGGAAGGGACCTTGGAAGGTCTTCTAGTCCATCCCTCTTCTCAGGCAGGAAACCCTATGATTGTCCAGTCTCTTCTTCAAAACCTCCAGTGTTGGAGCACCCACAACTTCTGGTGGCAAGCTGTCCCACTGGTTAATTGTTCTTCCTGTCAGAAAATTTCTCCTTAGTTCGAGGTTGCTTCTCTCCTTGATGAGTTTCCATCTGTTGCTTCTCCACCTGCTTTCAGGTGCTTTGGAGAATAGCTTGACTCCCTCTTCTTTGGGGCAGCCCCTCAAATATTGGAAGACTTCTTTCATGCACCTCTGGTCTTTCTTTTCATTAAACTAGACATGCCCAATTCCTGCAACGGTTCTTCATATGTTGTCAGGAATTGGGTATGTCTCTTCTGAATGGAATAAAAAGAAAGGAATGTAGATGAGTTTTTTCACCTATTATCCTCTCAACAGCCCTGCAAGGTAGGCCGGGCTGTGAGACGGTGAAGCCAAGGCAACGACAACAGGGGTGGAAAGCATTTTGACTTAGATGGGGTCTTCCTAGCCCAGCCCTCATTTTCCACCAATTCTCATAGTCCTGATTCACCCATGACATTGGTTGGGTTTAGCACATGATGTAAACGCAGCTACTTATGTGTGTGTTTTTAAAAAACCACCATTGAACAAACTGTAGTTTGGCCCTGTATATGAACAGAAACCTTGTCCTCTCAGGCGGTTTGGCTATTTAAAAATGTCCTTTGCCTTACATAATATTATTACGTTAATACGACGTATTGAGAGCAGCAAGAATTGTATTTGCACAGTACTGGACAAAAATGAGGAAACCCCTAAAGGAGAAGATGTAATTTAAAAAAAAAATAGATTGTGCAGAAATGGACAGATTGACATTAAAGATAAAAGAAAAAGAAGACAGAGTATTTTCGAACATGGGATTAGTTTTACAAATGGTTGGATAATAGAGGTAGAAATTAGGAGGGGGAAAAGTACTATTATATAAGCAAAATGACGCAGACAATACACTGTTCACTAAGCACTTATGTACATAGTGCAGGGGTCCCCAAACTTAGCAACTTTAAGACTTGTGGATTTCAACTCCCAGAATTCTCCAGCCAGCATAAGCGGCAAAGCCAAATAAGTTGGTAAGTGAGGTCTATTTAGCTGGCCGGAGAATTCTGGGAGTTGAAGTCCACAAATCTTAAAAGTTGCCAGGTTTGGAGACCTCTGACATAATGTATAAATAAACTGCATAGCCGGCTGGAGAATTCTGGGAGTTGAAGTCCACAAGTCTTAAAGTTGTCAAGGTTGGAGACCTCTGACATAATATATAAATAAACTGTTTTTAAAAATGTCCTTTTTCTTTTAGGACCAAAGAAGAAAAGGCCACCCATATTAAGGATGCCGCCGGTTAATAAACAAACAGCTGTCCCTGCAACGTAAGATCTATTTCACCTCTGTTTAAGAATTCCTTGACAAGTTCAGATAGTCTTCGAGTTAGTGACGATTCCAAGTTGCAACGCCCCTGGAGGAAAAAAGTGACTTAGGGCTATTTTTCACTCTTACGACTGTTGGCAGCCTCCCCCCTGGTCACGTGAACAAAATTCAGAGGCTTGGCGACTGGCATGGCCTTACGCCGGTTGCAGTGTCAATGGGGAAGCCAGATTCACTTACGTTACTAGCTTAAGAACTGCAGCGGTTCATTTAACTGCACCAAGAGAAAGTCGTACAGTGGGACAAAACCCACCTAACCAATTTTAGGTGGTCACTTAGCAACATGAAATTTTGGCCTCCGTGAGGATTGTAAGCCGAGGAATTACCTGTAAACGTTCCACGGAGTTTGGCTGAAGGCTGTTTTTGAATTGAAGCATTGACCTTAAGGTGCTGAAAGTTTGAAGAGCCACACTTGATATTTTCCGAATGAGATAAAAATGTTTATTTACTGTCTGTCCTTAAGGTGTTCCCCTCCGCCCACTTTTGTATGGCAACTTGGAAACCAACATAGGAATGGTTTGCAAGTTGACACTTGCGTCAGAACAAAACTTCCATTTAACAGGCTGTTTGGGAGAGCAGGCAGTCCGTTAAATCCAAATGATTGCAGTGGATGTTCTTTCGTGCAGTTATGTAATGGAAATGTTGACCTCGGATGCCCCAGCTCTCTGTTTGGTGAAGTGCAGATGGAATGAAGGAAATGTTCTTTCAGGAATGGTCCCTCCCACAGTCCGTTGTTTCTGAATCAGTCTGGACAACCGGCGTAATTTAATGTCGGTGGCATCCAATTACATAATGAGATAATGGATGTTTTCACATAATTGGCCTCCGTTTATGTCACTCGTGTGGTTAGGTGACGTCAGTTATGTGTTCAAATGAGGCAAGCTGGGGCATCCGAGGTCAACATTTCCATTACATAACTGCACGAAAGAACATCCACTGCGATCATTTGGATTTAACGGACTGCCTGCTCTCCCAAACAGCCTGTTAAATGGAAGTTTTGTTGTGACGCAAGTGTCAACTTGTAGTGACGCAAGTGTCAACTTCCTATGTCGGTTTCCAAGATGCCATACATATGGTCTCTGGGTGTTATGTGAATTTCGTTGAACGTATACTGTGTATATATACGTACAATGACAATAAACCAATTCAATATGAAAAAAGGGGAGGAACCCCTAAAGAGCCTTGGTGGCACAGTGGTTAGAGTGCAGTACTGCAAGCTACTCCTGCTGCAATTTGGCAGTTCGAATCCCACCAGGCTCATGGTTGACTCAGGCTTCCATCCTTCCAGAGGTGGGTAAAATGAGGGCTCAAATTGCTGGGGGCAATTTGCTGACTCTCTAAACCGCTTTGAGAAGGCTGTAAAGGCACTATAAAGCAGTATATAAATCTAACTGCTATTGCTATTAAGGGCAAGACAGCAAATGAACATTCCAAGCTTATCTTACAGAGATTGTAACTGAGGCAACCTGATATTCTGGGTGGGAAAATCCTCTATTGGAGAGCGTGATTGATGACCCCTAGCCCATGAATGTGTTCCATTGGACAGTCTGAATTATGATACACCCAGAGGGTGGAGGTGGAGGGAAGCAAGGTCATAGGTGATCGTAAAGTACATATCTTAGACTCGCCTTCACACAGATCATGCCAGTATGTCGCTCCTAATAAAATATTTGAAGTTTGGCCCGAGGCTGATGATTTAATTAGGGCCATCGCTGGAATTCTGACAGCAAGGGCATGAGAAAAGATAAGATAGAATAGAATAGAATAAGAATAGAATAGAATAGAATAGAATAGAATAGAATAGAATAGAATAGAATAGAATAGAATAGAATAGAATAGAATAGAATAGAATAGAAAATCTTTATTGGCCAAGTGTGATTGGACACACAAGGAATTTGTCTTGGTGCAAATGCTCTCAGTGTACATAAAAGAAAAGATACATTCGTCAAGAGTCAAGAATCATCAGGTACAACACTTAATAATAGTCATAGGATACAATAAGCAATCAAATCATACTAGGAAACAGACAATATAAATCGTAAGGATGCAAGCGACAAAGTTACAGTCCTACAATCACAAGTGGGAGGGGATGGGCGATAAGGACTGATGAGAAGATTAATAGTAATAGTAGTGCAGACTTTGTAAATAGTTGGACAGTGTTGAGGGAATTATTTGTTTAGCAGAGTGATGGCGTTCGGGGAAAAACTGTCCTTGTGTCTAGTTGTTCTGGTGTGCAATGTTCTATAGTGTCATTTTGAGGGAAGGAGTGGAGATGAATTGTGTTTTCACCTTGGACTGTCTGATTTATCAGCGAAAGCCACAACTTGGTGGATTATATTTTTTATCATGTTTTCTTTTTCTCATGCTAGAGTGTAGGAGATAGGCCCTGGGTTTCTGGCAAGATCTTCTCCAAAACCGTTTTGGGACTGGATTGAATTCTTTTCTTTGTTTCTTCTACAGACCTCCAAGGAACTTGGATTCCAGGACTTTCATCACCATTGGAGAAAAGGTAGGTCTTGTTCTCATCCTGTCCATTCTCCAAGCTTTTGCCCTTTTCCCTTCTGCAGAATTCCTTGATTGACTGTTTATCTTGTGCGTTTCATGAAATTTAAAAGGTATCAATACGGAGAAGTTCAGAACTTGCAAGGACGTGAGCTGTGATAGTGCCACCTCCATACGAGTGTTTCTTTGTGTAGACATAGGTGTGTGCAGGTGCCCAGTTGGGGCAAAATCCCAGGTATGGTGGATTTCACCATCTTCTTGTTGAAGTTGTCCTTGTGGTTTCATAACATGAACAAGTTTGGCTGGATACACACACAACCCCGAGCAACTGTGTGATTTGTTTAGTTTTTACTAAGTTCTTCTCACATTTGTAGACCACACTGTTGTTCAAACGTGGCCACTTTTAAGACGTACGGACTTCAACTCCCAACATGCTGGTTGGGCTATTCTGGGAGTTGAAGTCCAGTCTTGAAATCTTGCCAAGTTTGAAAAACAGTGTGGTAGACCATAAGTACTACCTGTGTAGGTTGTATCAGCCTTGCACCAGCCATAGTTAAGCATAAGGTGGGCGAGAATCCATCTCATTCCAGGAAGCTTGCTTGATAACATCTCCAGAACATCTGGAAGAAGGTTCTTCCATGGTTCTTCCAGTATCTTAAGCGCTTTAGGGCAACCCAACCCAGGTCTCCTCTTTCATACCTCTGTTTTCTGTGGAACCTGACCTCAGTGCTCTCCATAGTTCCTCCTCCTCCTCCTCCTTCATATTCCTCTTTTGTGGGCCTGACCTGACCTAATCTTAACGGATGGGTCATTTGAGATCACCTCCTCTCTTCCTCCCAACAGTCTTTTCTATTCCTGCCTTTAAAAGCTTTTCATTGGCTGTGGGGTGACCCAGCTTGGATTCTTGGGAGTTTGTGTGACCCTCACAACTAACACCAGCTAGAAATAGCTGCTGGTTTCTGGTTACAAGCTGCCTCATCAACGGTCAATCAAAGAAGAACGACTTCAGTTTTAGATACAGAGATCGCTTCCTTCTTCCAAGTTGGAAAGCCAAGCCATCAAAGTTATCTGTGTTAAATGTCTGGAGTTGTGTGTGTGTGTGTGTGTGTGTGTGTGTGTGTGTGTAAAGACCCGATCCTTCCCTGGATCTCCTGCTTTGCTTACCTCCCTGCCTAGTCCTAAATTCATTTTTGGTCGCCATGATGTAAAAAAGATGTTGAGACTCTAGAAAGAGTGCAGAGAAGAGCAACAAAGAGGATTAGGGGACTGGAGGCTAAAACATGCAACGAACGGTTGCAGGAACTGGGCATGGCTAGTCTAGGGAAGAGAAGGACCAGGGGAGACAGGAGAGCAGTCTTCCAAGATCTCAGGGGCTGCCACAAAGAAGAGGGGGTCAATTTATTTTCCAAAGCACCAGAAAGCAGGAGAAGAAGCAACAGGTGGAAACTCATCAAGGAGAAAAGCAACCTAGAACTAAAGAGAAATTTTCTGACAGGGAGAACAATTAACCAGCGGAACAACTTGCCTCCAGAGTTGTGGGTGCTCCAGCGCTGGAGGTTTTTAAAAAGATGTTGGAAAACCATTTGTGTGAAGTGGTGTAGGGGTTTCCTGCCTAGGGGTCAGCTGATCAACTTTTGCCACCTTCTGACAAGCCAAGTCCATGGGGAAGCCAGATTTACTGAACAACCAGGTTACTAAATCAACAACAGCAGTGATTCACGTAACAAATGTGGCAAATAAAATGGAGCAAAACTCGCTTAACCAATCTTGTCCCTTAGCGACGTAAATTTTGGGCTCCGTTGTGTTGAGGACTTACCTGTATTCCCAGGAAAAAAAGAAACTGCTAAAGAATTGGGTGTTGCTTTACTTTAGAGGTTCAAGCTTCAGCGGAGTGGACTTCAACTCCCACAATTCCCCGTGGAAGTCGGAACATGGTTATTTTTCCTTTTGAAGGAGGTTTTCTGAGGTTTCCAGACCGTCGATGGCAATAAATTGATTTGAATGGGTGGCATGTTGTGTCTTGAAGGGTGTTTGGGATGGTTCGTTGGGCATGTAGGACGTGAGGCCCGTTTCTATGTTCTTAACCTGTTAGTCATTTCTTTACTCTTTTTTTTTTTGCATCCATCTCATCCGATCTGCAGAACTTCGAAGTTGAGGCCGATGACTTGGTGAGCATCTCTGAACTGGGCAGAGGCGCTTACGGGGTGGTGGAGAAAGTGCATCACGCGAAGAGCGACACGATCATGGCTGTGAAGGTGAGAACTTTAGCAAAAAGGGCTCGAAATACTTTGGACCTGGTGGGTTGCATGATCAACCGCCAAGGGAGGTCAGACTAGGACAGGGCTGGCCTGGAAACTGGGAGATGGGGAGTTCTAGTGCTCCCTTAGTCAGGAAAGCCGGCTGGGTGACTTTGGGCCAATCACCAGGAGACAGGGA